TCCCACGTGCAAGAAGACTTTCCATTTTCCCTTTATTGTGTCTTCCTTTTGTTAATTATTTCAAATTTATCCTGTTTATTTGTAGATAAATGTGTGCATGTTGTCTCCCCCATTAAACTGTGAGCCTCTCTTAAACAGCAGCTGTTTTTGTCTTTTTTTGCACCCCCAGTACTTAGCACATGCCTGGCACATAGGCCCTTTTCCTTTACAAATACGTAATTTTATTCTCACAACAATCTTGGGAGGTAGGCGTTATAATCACCTCCATTTTACAGATTGGGAAAATGAGGCAGAAAGCAGTTAAACTACTTGCCCAAGACCACACAGTTATTAAGTCTCCGAATCTGGATTTGAACTCAGATCTTAACTTCAATTGCAGCACCCTATCCACTATGCCAAACAGCTGTCTCTTGACCTGAATCCTAATCTTTGATAAAGTCATACCAGGTTCTCCCAAGTTTGATTCCCAGAGTTATGCTGTTTAATACCAAAAAAAAAAAAAATTTCCTGCCTTTTCATGCTCAATTGCCATAGGATCTTAGATCTTTAGAAATGTAATGAACTTTTAAAAAATAATTTAATCCAATCCTCTCAATTTTACAATAGGTTAGGAAACAGGTAGAGAATGGTTCACAGGATCACATTTGAATTGAATAGGACATCAGGTTTCATCTAATCCAAAGTACAGATGAGGAACTAGGGTTCAGAGAAGTTAAGAGACCTACATAGTCCCCTACATAAGGGATTAGTCTCCAGTTTCTGGTCAACACACACACAGGAACAACAAGAGGCTACAGAATAGTCTCAAAGAATTACTGGGAAGGCTCAAAGAGAGCTGAGCATTATCTAGCAGAAGAGTAAGTACGTACTGGGCTCAATATTGGGGGGAATCACAAAAAAATAAAAACTAAGGGAAATGGATCCTTCTTTTTCTCATATGATTCAAGCTCCAATTATAGCATTATTTAAAAAGTGTATTTAAAAATTTTATTTTATTTAAAATACAGAAGAGATAAATTGGGGGATTTCACGTATTTCATCAGTTTATCCTTTCCATTCCATTAAATATTCTAATACGCTGGCTATTTGCATAAGGTCGGTGTATGTATAAGTATATGCTCATCTGAATATAACTCACTTGTAAGTGAACAGTCAAATAGGTCATACCCAATTGGGATCAAATGTTACAACTTCTTTAAAAGTTCATCAAAAATCTTCTGAATAGCCCTCAAATTCTCACCATTAGTTCAAAGATCATCTATGTTTAAATAAATAAATGGCCATATTTTCACAATGGACAATAGGATAAGAGATCTTGAGTTGGAAGGAAAGAAGAGGACACTGAGGTCTAAAGAGGTTAAGTGATTTGCCCAAAATCACAAAGGGAATAAGTTGCAAAGCTAGAAATTTGAATTCAGGATTCATGATTCCCAGAGCTTTCTACTACATCAAAATCTCAATGTAGGTATTACTGCCCTCAAGGATGCAGATCTCAATCCATTCATAATCAACATCCTTTATGCATACAGATGCATAAATTTACCACAGGGAGTCCACTCAATATGCCTTTCTTTCTCTTGAAGTTGCAGAGATACCAAATGAGCATTCAGGTTGTCTGTCAACCTTCTCTCGCTTTCACTACATAACTGGATCATCATACATCTGACAGCATACTTTACTCCTATATAATTCATTTATGATATGCCAATCATGTGCCTCTTTGCTGTCCTTTGGACAAGCACTAAATTTATTTCATAATGTGTAGTTACACAGCATCACCAGAATTCTAAATAGCTAACATTTATTACATGCCTACTATGTGTCAGGCACTGTGCTAAGTGCTTTACAATTACTAACTCATTGATCCCCAAAGCAACCCAGAGAGGCAGTGCTATTATTACCCCTATTTTACAGATGAGAAAACTAAGGCAAACAGGTTAAGTAACCTGCCCAGGGTCACACAGTCCTGAAGTAATTGAGGCAGGATTTGACCTCAGGTCTTAAGAACTCCAGGCTGGTACTGTAACCCACTGAGCCACCTATCTGCCTTATACTTTAGTTAAAAAGATTTGCCTTTGTTAAGAGAAACTTCGGACTATCAAAAGAACTACATATATGACATCTCTAGCCTATTCTCCTCATTTAGGTCTATTTACAGTGTCAGTCTAAAAATATATGTACCTATGGACCAAGTCTATGGATTGTATATCAAAACCTAGACAATAGACTTTCTCTATTTATTTCTCTTGGTGTCTAGTTAAACCAAACTCTGAATAACAGGCATTTTTAATGATTAATTCTTTTACTGGAGTGAAGATACAATGTTTGTTTTCCTAAGTTTGGAAAATAACTTCTAAATGTTCAAATCATTTGTGATTACATTAGACGCACAGATCCATTTTTGAATGCACAAAATATAAGGGCCTTTCACCTTTGGGGGGAGGGTCCCCTTTCTTTATCCTGGTAGCAGCATTCTAACTTCTCTCATAAGAAACCCTCCAACTTTGCCAACAAGGCAGCTTCTCACCTAATACTAATTTCCCAGATTTCCAAGACTGATGCCCGCACAAGAGACTGTTTATCTTGCATAGTCAATATCATTTCAGAAATGCAGGCTACCAAAACAACAGTATAAAGTATAAAAAAAAAAAAAACCAAACCACACACACAAAAGCATTCACCACTATAAGTTACATCAAAATATTTCAACAGCAGGTGGTTACTGATGTAATTTCAGGCTTTCAGGAAAGGTCTTTTTTTTTTTTTTAATTAACTAAAACCATATGAATGAATACAATATACACAACCTAATTCTTTCAAGTGTCCCATAACTCCTCAAAACAATAATAAATCTCATGCTTGCCTTGAAACAAAACTCTTACTCAACTGCTTACATAACTTTTCTATAGAAGCACAGGAAATAAACCAGTGTAAAAAAGCCAACCACTAGTTGTGAAATAGTATCCTAATACTACAGCCTCATAAAACTAATTTTCTGGACATAAAGCAACTTTGCCATATTAACTTTCCTGTGAAAAGTTGCTGGCAGGAAAGCAAATGTTTTCCTGTTGGCCTGACACTTCCCAGAATATAACAGATATATCATGTTTTGTTTTACCCTTTGAAATGCTTCAAGTCTTTTTTTTTTAAACTAAGTGGAATTTTTAAACTACAAGTGGAATTTAACATACTGACTCCCAAAACGGACATAGGACTCAAACATTTAACAAGGTAAGTCATGACTTAGATGTAATCCCTGAAATATAATTCCATGATCTTAATGCACAGTGCCTGGGACACCGTTAATACTTAATAAATGCTTTTTCATTCATTCAGTAAGTCCCCTAAACAACGTTCCATATCCCAAAAAGCACCTGGATTCCTATAATAATAGCAAACAGAAAACAGTACCGAAGACACCACCTTCAAGGTAATCCAGCCCACTCTCCCCAATTTAGGTCCATTTATAGTTTTAGGTATTTTTACAACTTTAGGTTCATTTATATCTAGCATCTGTATGTCCCTGCCCCAAGTATTTTCACATTTGGCTCTCAATAAGACTGTAAGGTAAGCTCACTGAAGTGATTTGCTCAAGACCACAACGCAGTAAATGGAGACACAAATGTTAAGACGTGTCTCCTAAGGTTACCAGAAAAACGCCTGAAAGAATCCTAGCCAACAGCACCACCTTAGCATCGAAGACATAAAGTAAAAGGAAGACTATATAGTCCAATGACACTCATCCTTTTTCCTCACTTTACAAATGAGAAAAAGAAAGTTAAATTATATTAAGTGACTTGTCCAAGTTCACATAGGTGTTAAATAGAAGAGTACAATAAAAACTATGATAGGGTACCTATAACAACTAGGTCCTTAGGATCCCAAGTCCTTTAACAGCATGCTGCCTCCCTATTTAAGGCATGGAAGGACCAAAGGTTCTAGTACAAAATTATTTTAAAACAAAATCTTTGAAGTAAGTTGTTTTCATAAGTTTTCTTTTCTGACTTTCTGTGGGAATTGTAAATCCTATAATACGATAAATGACAAATAGGTAGCAAGCTAAAGACTAAGTAAAACCAGAGAAGGGGGAAAAAATCAGCTCTGTCTGAAACATAAGACGCCAAGAGTAAAGACTAAATAAAAATACACTTCTTTTCCTGCGGTGTATTACTTACAAGAGGTCAAGAATCATCCACACCAGAACCTCCCCCTAATCTGTGGGAGATTCGCTCGGCTCCCTCCTACCACAGTAGCCAAGATCGCGAACGTCTCTTCCCCTCGTCCCAAGAGGCACGTCCGAGCCAATAGCTCAGGCGAGCGGCCGAGGTCTGTCCACCGGCACTCGTAAACTCGAGCACCAGCGGACCCCACGACAGGGCACCGGGGGGACCCAGGCTCCAGCCGGCTCCAGGAAGGCCGAGCGAGCCCGGGACATGCGGCCGTGCGCGGAGAGTCCGGGAAGGCTCCCCGGCGCCAGCGCCACCCCCGCGCCCCGCAGGAGCCCCCAGGGCGCCTCCCCCGCCCGTCCCGGAAAAAGCCCAACGAGTCCCCGGAGGAGAGAAGGAATGTCAGGAGCAGGCGGCGGCTGAGGGAGGGAGAAGGGGCCGCTGCCTCCCGGCGGGATCCCAAGATGGCGGCCAAGGCGCCTGGTCCCGGCACCCCAAGCTCGGCTCGCCTTTCCTGGCCTCGGCCTCGGCCTCCTCCGCCGCCCCCCCCCCAGCCCCCGCCACAAGCTGGGCGTGCGCGCGCGTGAAACTGAGTGTGACTGTGAACGGGCGGGGGAGGGGAGAGGGAGGAAAGGCTGACGACGAGAAAGACGAGAAGAGAGCTGGGGAACGGAGAGAGAAACATGGGAAACAGGGAGACGAGGGCTGGCGACGCTCCTTCCTCCTCTCCGAACCCTCCACCCCCACAAAAAAAAAGAGGAAAAGGACCCGAAGGGGGGAGCTGACGGTCTCGTTCTCCCCGCTCCCCTCACCAAGGCCCACCTCGCTACCTACCTTTAAATTTGAGGTCTGTGGGCGGGTCGAGGAGCAGGATCTGCTCGTGCTTTGCCATGGCCCCGGCAGCGGCCGCCATCGGAGAGACAGCGCAGGGGGAGCGGGGGCGCGCCCGAGGCGGCGGTTTGCCTGGGTGGGGGAGGGGGGATTGTCCAGGGGAGGGAGAGTGGGAGGAGCTCAAGGTGGGGGAGAGGGGAGAAATGGCGAAGCGCCGGGGCTGTGAGAAGGGCACAGTCACCAGCCTGGGCTCACCGCTCGCTCGCTTCCTGCTTCGGCCAGCGGATCGGGCAGTCTGACGACCAGTCGCTTACCCCCCCTCCACTAACAACTGACTCAACCCCACACCAGCCAACGCGGCCACGCGCACTGCGATCCTCGCTGCCCCACGTGACTCGCCCCTGCGTGCGACGTGCGCGCCACCGCAGCGGCCTGGGCCTCCTCTTCGCCCGCCCCGCCCTTGGAGCCTTAGCGCGGCATGGGCCTTCACGCGCCTGCGCGTTCCCGCGTGCTCTATATATTTCTTCCAGCCTGAAAGCCTGGCCGGGACCCTGTCAGTGGAAGTGGAAATGTAGCGGCGAGGTGGGGGGGGGGGGGGGGGGGGTGTGGGATTGTCGCAGTACTGAAGCTGCCTGTGCTCAGAAGCAGTCCCTTCCCTCCCCTAGCCGCAGGATCAGGGAGTCAGAACGGAGGTGGCACCTTCTAGGGTTTGGGCTGAGGAAGGGATACGAGGGAAACGACTTGAGGCAAGCGCCTTCCGAAACTACAGCTCCCAGCATGCAACATGCCAGGCGGGCAGAATGTAGAGACCGAGCCGTTGGAGGTGGGGCATGCTGGGAGTTGGAGTCTCCTGCGGGGCGCCCGTAGCGCAGTGCACCTTGGAACTTGTAATAGCGGCTGGACCGGCAAGCTGGGCAGGCCCAGCGTGGGCGGGAAGAGGAGCAAAGTCCGTTGTACAGATGTTGGGCGGGGCATGTTGACCCCCCCCCCACTGGGCTCTGGAAGCCTTCGCGAAAAGCGTTTTTGGCTGTTTTTAATTGAGGACTTAACAGCAAAGATAAGAAAAGGACCCTCAAATTAAGTGCTTAGAGAATGTGTGGTGAACAGCCCTAAAATAATGCAGCGTTGTATGAGTTAGCTGCTATCCTTAAAGTAGTGGCTCAGTTTGTATATAAACAAAATACCTAACAGATGGAACTGGTACCATAAAAATGCCTAGCCTCACCAGCAGAGGACTTAGAATAAAGCCTAAATTTGACAGAGCTAAAGGGGGCAGCTAGGTGACTCAGTGGATAGAGTGCTGGACATGGAGTCAGAAAGACCTGAGTTCAAATTCAGCTTCAGACACTTAACTGGCTGTGTGAGCCTAGCGAGGTCCCTTAACCTCTGTTTGCTTTAATCCACTGAAGAAGGAAATGGCAAACCACTCCATTATCTTTGCCAAGAAAACCCTGGATGTCGACAAAGCTAACCAAAACTGCTAATCTCACAGTTCACAAGACGTAGAACCTTCGCTCTGAGATTCTCCTATTTGTCATGTATATGTCTTGTTTATACATAGTTGTCTGTATGTTGTCTCTTTCTCTACCACCTTAGATTATAAACTCTAAGAGTAGGGCCTGTCTTTGCGTTTCTTTGTATCCTCAGAGTTTAGCACAGAGCCTGGCACAGGAGGTACTTAATAAATGCTAATTGACTGCTTAGCACCATCAAAGCAGAGGTATCATCTTCAGGCAAAATAAACAAGCCCCAATGAAGTAATGCTGTTAGTCAAAATGTGTTCTCTGGAAGGGCAACGAATTTGTCTTTTATTTATGTTTAATTTGTCAGTAACATTTTGCATTTGGAATCATTTGAGAGACATGGAAAATGCTGGCACAGGACCACCCAGCATGGCATGATAGAATCAAAGAGATGCTGTGCTCCATGAGCAAAGCAGAATTGCAGTAGCTCAAAGAAAGTGAGATGTGAAAGTTTAGAGACATCTCCATTCCAAATGTTCACATGGACTATTTGTGCCCTACCTGTGGTATAAAGTCTTCTGAGCTTGTATTGGTCTGATCAACCAGTCAGACACATTGTACACTGAACCTGACATAGTGATATCATTTTGGTCCTCTTCCATTACCCAGTAACCAACATTTTGCATAGAATCATATATGATCAAAGCTTGTCTAGCAGGTAGAAAGAATAAGTCCCTGCTTACACAATTAGATTTGAGGCCTCCACCTCCAAAACACCTTTTATTGATCTGATGCTGATTCCTGGAGATCCAACATAAGAATTTCATTCCTTGTGCTAAGTCACTGGGAAAATGTCCAGAATTCCTGGGAAACATGCAGTCCCTGTTAAACCTTAGTGTAAATTAGTTTTCCAGGAACTTTCCAAGTGAGAGCATGCTGAAAACTGGTTTTGACAGGGAGTAAGGTAAAGGATAAAAAAGGATACGTACACACAAACATAACTTTTAATGAAGCCAAGTCTGGCTGGGGGCCCTGGAGAAACCCAAGGGCAGCATGAAGGTGAAAAATATTAAAAAGAAAAGTGGTTTAAGTAGATAACTTTGGGGTAGGGTAGACTTTTGAGATCACCTGTTTTTAAGGTGGGCAGCTAGTGGTGCAATGAATAGAGCACCAATCCTGGAGTCAGGAAAATCTGAGTTCAAATCCACCCTCAGACATTTGCTAGGTGTTTGACCCTGGGCAAGTTATTTAACTCCTATTTGCCTCAATTCCTCATTTGTAAAATGGGGGCACACTGGGAGAAGGAAATGGCAAACCAGTATTCTTTACCAAGACATGAAACAACAACATTTTAAAGGTACTATTAAGTACTATAAAGAATGGACATTGTTCGTATTCTATAAAAGTTTGTGGCCTAAGAGTATTTTCTCCATTTTGCTGTATGATAGATTATTAAATCTCTTGTCAGAGTAGGACCTCACAAAGTTTCAGATTAAGAATTTCTCTACAATAGATACAACTAAAAGAGGTTAGGAAATATTTCCTTAGCCATAGTTGGGGCTAAATAAATAAACAAAATAAATGTTTGATACCATTGTTTGCTTTTAAACACTGTAATGGTATACAAAGTTTTGCTTAAATTAACCTTGTGACTATTTAAAGTCCTCTTAAAAATAGATGAAATTATTGCTATGAATAGTTTGTCAATATATTCACTTGCATAGTTGTCATTAGGTCCTACTGAAGAACCTAATATTCCAAAGAGAGCATTAAGATTTCAACAAAAATTACATTCTTACAAAACAGAAAATTGTTGATAGGAAACAGCCTTCTGTTCTGTATTCACACTTGCTCTTTAGCTTGTTGAGGTTAGAGGGGCATTTATGAGGGCAAAATAAAATTACCAAAACTAGAATTTAGTCAAATTACTATGTACTAAAGCTTAGTGGAGTTTTCCTTAATTTAGGTTTTATCTCTAGGACGCCACCATTTACCCAAAAAAATAATCTTTTTTTTTCCACGTAGATATAGGTGACAGTGTCATATAATATTGTAGCAGTGATTACAAAACATTGTCAGAGAAGGTGCTACTCTTCCCTTCCTTCCCCAGATACTATTACTATTATTAGGAAATTGTCCCCAGGGAATTTGAATAAAGCCCATCTAGCTGCCCAAGGGAAATTGTCCCAGGATCAAAAGACCCTTTAAGAAGGAAATAGGAAAAAAGTTGCTTACTGATGAGTACTTCTATTTTCTATAAACTTTACAAGATCATTTACTGCTGCTTTCCATTAACTGCTAAAAAAATCTTGTTCACATTTTGAGTCTTGTGAATACGTGAACTAAAAGAGGAGTTTTTAATTATACCTATGGACTTAGAGAAGGGCACTGTGTTCCAAAATCATCTTTTTGGTAACATTAAGTAGAGGAAATGAAAAATCCCCCAAATTATACCACTCAAAGGTTACATACATGTGATTATTAACTGACCTGTAGGCATTCCTAGCTCCAATTCCTTGGCAGCATGTGACTATAGCCAGGGTTGAAGAGCAAGTGACCAATGCCGATTTTTCCCAGCCCCCTAGTCTTACATAACCAGGGTCTCAAACCTTTTGGGATATGACTCTTCTCATTGGTAGAAACCACTGGCCCTACACGTGCAGATTTGGAGAGTGGGAAAGAAGGGACCTCATCAGTCTCTTAAGTTTCTTAAGGTTTTTCCATCTCTTCAGGTGTAGAGCACTTCTAGCTTCTAGCTTAGAGAGAGAAGATTCAATATGCCAGCCCCACTTCAGGCTGCTGAAGAAAAAGATTGTAGGAGCTGGCAGTCTTCATCGTGTCTTTTCCCCCAATTTGCTACACTAGAGACTTCAGGAAACTTCTCTTTGGATGAAATCTAGAACTTTTTTGGTTGAGCTGAGTTATCTCACTCCCAATGGGAGAATTCCTTCACTGTATTATCTGGTATATATTCTCCTATGTATTCTTTCTCTGATTTCTATTTTGCTATTCGCTTCGATAAATGAGGGGTTTTTTTTTTCATTTTTGTTCTGTTTTGGTTTTTGCTGTTTGCTACCTCCTGTGTGTATTGACTGTTGAATTGGTATTTAGTGAGAAGGGAGTTAATCTTTCAATATAAAGCTTGAGGTCCTGCTTCCCACATTGATGAAACAATGATCAGAAGTTAGATTGAATCTGAAAACCACATCCCATAGAAAAATAATATTTGAGAGAACAGATAGATGAAATTCTAGCCTAGTACCCCCTTCTCTGAGGAAAGCAGAGTGGCCAAGCTTTAGCTCCAACCTCCTGCTTCTCCTCCTGGTAGGAAATAGTCTCCCTTGGAGAAGAGTTGGGAGAGAGGAGGATACAGATGTCCATTTTGTCTCCCTTCAAACCACACAACACTCCCAGGCTACATGTGGGGTAACAGTCTTTTACACTTAAGACACCAAGCCCTAGCTACCTGGCACTCTCAATTCCATCACTACCATTTCCCCCTAGCTCTTCTAAGTTCCCCACCAACAGGACTATTGCTAAGAGAAAGTTGAAAAGTTTCTTCCTTATCCTAAACAATAATAATAGCACACTACCCTCTTAGGTGTTTTAAAAGAGGGCATGTACAATATGACAGAACAGGAAAATGATAAATGTTGGAGAAGATGTGAGAAAACTGGAAAACTAATACATTTTTGGTGGAGTTGTAAAATGATCCAATGATTTTACAGAACAATTCAGAACTATGCTCAAAGGGCTATAAAAATGTGTATACCCTTTGACCCAGCAATAGCACTTTTAGGGCTATATCCCAAAGACATCATAAAAATGGGAAAAGGACCCACATGTACAAAAACATTTATAGCAGTTCTTTCTGTGGTGGCAAAGGATTGGAAATTGA